TCCCCTGCCTGTCCTCTCACCTTTATGTGCCATGGGACCTAGAAAGTGGCTAGATTTCCCCTCTGTTCTGCATGGTTCCTCTTCTATCTCTCCCTGATTGTCTCCTTGTTCACAAATTTCAAGTCCATGCCATCAGCCTGCCTCCTTATTGTAGTTACTTATCAACCACACTGCACACGGTCATTCCCCTGCCTCCCTCCACTAGGGATTTCAGTATCACCAACTGTGCCCTTGCCATTCATGGTACAATCATCCTGACCCAGATAAGGCTTCACAAACCCCAAGGGGACTCAGACAACATCTGTTCTGTCAATTCCTTGTCTTCCTGCATCCCACAGATCTCCTCCCTCACCTCAGCCACCTTTCTCCATGGCAACAGCCAGCATGTTGTCACTAGAGACTGTGCCACCCAGTTTCTGATGACCTTCTAGAATTTCTTCCATTGGCTCTCACATCCTAATGTCATCATTTTGTCCCACAGGGACCTCTAATTAATCATGCATGCTTTCATTTCCCAACACCCTTTCCTGCTTCCTCTTATAACCTTCACTCTCTGTTGGCTCCTTTACTCTGTTGTGAAGCACTTTCATCTTTCCGACACAGTCTCTGTGGAAGTTAATACAGTTTTTGTCCATTCCTCCCTTAAGGACTAAATATTACTGGGAAAGTCCCCCAGTCATGCTAATTTAAACTCATGACTACAAAGCTCACACTCTGTCTCCTGGTGCATTTTCTGAGAAATCTCCTTGTCACTATTGCATAGATTTCCATTTTTCGCCTCTGCAAAATCCCTCCACAACCTCAGCCTCAGCCATGGCTGCACCTCATACCTTAAGAATATAGAAGCAATTGGTTGGGATCCATTTCTTCTCTCTCCCAGCAAATCTGCCCATCCACGTTTATCTGCAGCCAAGACAGACAGATCGCCCTGCACCCAAGTCACTGCCTTCCATTCCAAGTTCCTCTCTATTTCTTTGGTTTACTCTGCTCTGACTCATCAGCCTATAAGAACATCCTCCAGAACTTCTGGTTAACACTCACCCATTATAGAGTTCTAATTCATGACAAGTCTCAGAAGAGAAACCTGTGCCTGCCGCCTGTATTCTCACACTTTCAGTTGCTATTGGCCAAGTACAATTGGCTTCTGATCACAACACTCTGCTTCCAGGACACATGCAACAGGTACCGGTCCCTTCCATCCTATCAACCACAATAGTCACGTTTCTGTCCTTATTAACTCATTGCCCCTAGGATGCACTGCTTAAAACACAGAATGATGGGCTGGAGAGATGGACACAGAGTGAGGGGATGGAGAGACAGACACAGAGTGAGGGGCTAGAGAGATGGACACAGAGTGAGGAGCTAAAGAGACGGACACAGAGTGAGGGGCTGGAGAGACGGACACAGAGTGAGGGGCTGGAGAGATGGCTCACTCAATCAAAATCCTGCTGCACAACCATGAGGACCAAAATTTAATCCCTAGCACCTATATAAAAAGCTGGATATGAGGATGTGTGTCTGTAATCCTGATGCTGAAGACGCTGAGACAGGGCTTCCTGAGACTCACTGGTGAGCTCCAGGTTCAGTGAGAGACCTTGTCTCAGAAAATAATGTGGGGAGATTGAAAATGACACTCAACATGAAGCTCTGGCCTCCACATGCACACACGTGCGTGCACACACACACACACACATGCACACATATACACACACATGCATACATGCAAACACACACGCATGCACACATACACACACACACAGCACAGAATGAATCTTTTTCCTGGTTAGCTATTTCCTATGTCTAAGTGGCAAAACTGTACATCATTTCAAGATGATCTTTGCCCTCAGAATTCCTTGGTTGTATTTATTCTAAAAGTTGGGAGAGGCCTATAATTTTTACTTCCTCCCTGCAACATTTTGGGAGAATTTATGATAAGGGACGAATGCTCTTCAGTTGTGTCCAGCTATGTATCTGTTGACTCCCTTTTCTTACATAGAGGGACAGCTGTGTGCCACCAGGTCTGAAATGTCTTTCCAGTTTTCTTTCCCCCCTTTATAAAAAGAATACATAGTTACTCTAGGAAAATATTATGTATATAGAAAAATATGAATAATTGCTAATAATTTCTTTACTACTAAAACTTTCCCTTTTGTAATTTTAAATAATTATACTTCTCTCTTGCTATAAATATTAATAATAATTAATGCCTATTAAGAGTTTATATGAGTTTATATCAAGTACATTATCTTTGTTAACACACTTGCTCCTCACAAAAACTCTATAAAGTAGGTAGTATATTCATCTCACATTTACAGTCAAAAGAAATAAGGCTTAGAGCAGTGGTTCTCAACCTTCCTAATTCTGTGACTCTTTCTTTAATACAGTTCCTCATGTTGTGGGCCCCCCCCCAGCATAAAATTATTCTTGTTCATAACCATATGAATCACAATGACTACTTCATAACCATATGAATCACAATGTAAATATCTGATATACAGGATATCTAATATGTGACCCTGTGAAATGGTCGTCTGATCCTGAAGTGGTCGTGACATACAGGTTGAGAACTGCTGCCTTACAGGCTCATAGTAATGTGTCCATTCATGGCTGGTAAAGTAACAAAGATAAAAACATTGATGGCAACTTAGAAAAGCATTGAGCTCCAGTCTGGAAATATTTGAGTACTTAGGATATAGTATGCTTTTGAATACGTTCTCCACAAAGCCTTGGTTGTGACATTTGTGACCAGAACAATAACTTTGCGTGTCTCATCCTCTGGCAGGACCACTGCTGTGGAGTAAACGGTCCATCCGACTGGCAGAAATACACCTCCGCCTTCCGGGTGGAGAATAACGATGCTGACTACCCCTGGCCTCGGCAGTGCTGCGTCATGAACAAGCTTACAGAGCCTCTCAACCTGGATGCCTGCAAACTCGGAGTGCCTGGTTACTACCACAGTCAGGTGAACCATCTCCCCCCTGAAGACCTAGTAGAAAGTCCTTCCACTCATAAGTAATGTCTATAAGGAATTCTGCATGTTTCCCCTAAACAGCGTGTCATCTGCTTCCTTCTCTGTTAGTACACTGGGAGTGCTCATTTAGAATTGTTGCAAATTTATTTTTAGTAAAAATTACTACAACATGAAGATTTCTGTAGCACTAACCAATTTTGTATAAACGAAGACAAGTCTGTGTAATGTTTAGAAATGCTTTTTTGGAGAAATATTTGCATTAGATGAAGGCCAGCAAAATGTAAATTGGAAGGAATGATATACACAAGAATACTATTTCATTCCAAAGCAACTGCTGAGGTCAGAGGTGATGAAGGGCCGTGTCAAGCAATATCGGATTGGTGATTTTGGCTGATGATGATTTACATACATTTGGGTTTTTGCAAAAGTGCTTCTGGGCTGATGAAGGCGACCTGATGGTGATCATGAAACATTTATTGAGGCCTTCCTGAGTGCCAGATGTTGTGCCATGTGCCACACACAGACTATCATGCCTGTGATGCTCAAAAGTCAATGCTGGCTGTACTCTGTAGTCTGCATGAGGAATGGAGTAGGAGATGCTAACTGGGGCCTTGCCCAAGCTCACACAATTAGTAAATGACTTTTAGGTTTCAAGCACAAGCCACATAGCTTCAGAGCACAGATGCTGCACCAATCAAGGTTGGAAACAGTCCCCCAAAGTCTTGGAGAGCATGCTCAAACCCTTGTAGGCAGTGTCTGCTGACGAAGCACACTGAAATGTTCTGTCCTGCTTTGGGTGTAGTCATTGTCAGGAAGCCTAGTCATATGTCGGCTTGGCAAATAATTAAGAAGCATCAGGCTTTTCCCTACAGAAGTAAATGCTACAAACCACACATTTAGAGTGAGAGACTCCATTGTTACACCTGGCAGGGTACCTGGACTACATCTGGATGCTTTAATTCACAAAGGGTAAGGCAGTGATGTGGATGGTCTCATATCAGTGTCCGGAACAACCGTCACTGAACTGTATAGACACCTTGTTACTGCACCACTACAGTCAGTTATGTTCATCTGTAATAAAAATTAAATGGGTTGCTTATAACCAGTATAAAATGCAACGATCACTGAACTACTCATAAAATGTTTTCAGCATTTCTATGTCAGGAGTCGCTCGTGCAAACCCATCTTTCCTAAATTAAAGTCATGTGCTAACAGTGCCTTCTCTCTAAAAGGGACAAAAAAAAAAGATGCCCACTTTCCTATTATGGCATAACTTTGAAGTCCCTCTACCATAACAGTAGCCGTGAAAATCAATGAAAACCTCTTACTCAGGTTTAGATAGTAAGTTTGAAAGAGAAACGCCCCCCTCCCCAACTTTTTTACTGTCTTTGGACCTCCACAGCCATCCTGACACCTTCCTTTGGCCTCCTGCCTCCAGTGTCTCCATTGCCAGCCAGCTGAGCGAAAGCATAAACCAACACCGCATAGACCCTCTTCAACCAAGTTCCCACTTCCTGACATTTCTGCTCTGTCCCTTCCTCCCTTTGCCCCCACTTCCTCAGTTGTAACATAAGCCGACCTATCCATCTTTCTGACTCTCCCTATCTCGGTCCCCCAGGGTCCCACACATGCCCACTTTCTGACATATAGGTGCTGCTGCTAATTCCACTCCAACAATCCTTTGCTATAGAACATAAACCCTGCCCCGATACTTACTATACTTGTGGTGTTTTTGTACTTAACCTTGTCCAAACTGTTCCATGAGGTCCCTTAAGGGCTGCATTACTCAGTTCTAGATCTTCAGTACTTGGCATAATGCCTGGCACAAAGTAAACACTCAATAAATGTTGGGTGGGTGAATAAATGAACGAAGGAGTGAATGAAGGAGTGAATGATTCCTCTTTTCATAGCCATATTGACGCTTTTCAACACCTATGACACACAGTATTGCTATAGCTGTAAAAACTAACAAAAGTAGAAAAGTCAGCCTAAGTATAGCAGAGAGGAAAAGCAAGCAGAATTTCATATCCAGGTCAAAAATACACACACACACACACAGAGAGAGAGAGAGAGACAGAGAGACAGAGAGACAGAGAGACAGAGACAGAGACGACAGAGACAGAGACAGAGGAGGGAGAGAGACTTAGGCTTCACTATCAGCCTTGAAAATGCTATATGCAAATCCTGTTGATGTAACCTCAAGAATATTAATCTATACTCAGAGAGTAAAGTCCCAATAAAATGATTAGCATCCTGGAAATTCACTAATGAGATGAAAACCGGGGATTTTGACTGTGAGTCCTACAAAGATGAGAGGCCATTCTATTTTGCCCCAGCTAAGTGCCCAACTCAGTACCCAGCACTTGGCACAAACTGGCTCTTACACATAGTATCAGATTAATGATTTCCTCCCAAGAGTCTCAAGAGGATGGGTGTGTTCTGAGTGTTTCAAGTGGAGGTTGTAATCATTACTTAATACCTTTCATTAAGTCTGCTTGCTTTGTTTGTTCATTCATTCATTCGCTTGTTTAAGACAGAATATCATTCTGTAGCTCAGGATGGCTCTCAACTCTTTGCGCGGCCCCGGAAGACCTTAAATTCGTTACTCTGTAGCTTGGACTGGCTTTGAACTTATAATCCTCTTGCCTGAGCATCCTAAGTGCTGGGACTACAAGCTATTATTCTGTACATTATCATTAGGTACCTACTGTATGTCAGGCACTCATTCTAGGTTCTGTAATTCAACAATTAACAAGATAAGAATCTCTACGCTTGTGGAGGTCACATTCTACTGTAAGTGACAAACAGTAAATGCGCTGCACACAAGTGCACAGTCAAATGCCAGGCAGTGGTGCCAGGAGCAGAGATAGAGCAGAGTTTGTAAGTGGGGTACGATAAATTGTTTTTCTCTGTGACTGTCCAGAGAGCCTTTGTTGAGAGGACCTCTGCACAGTTCTGAATTATGTGCAGAAACGAGGAACTGAGCTGTTAGGGAACACTTCTAAGCAAAGAAAACAGCCCATGCAAAGACCAGAGCATCCCCGGTATTTGGAGGAAATTCAAAGAAACCAGCCTTATGAGCCCAGAATGATTGCAAGGTATCTAGAAGGAATGGAGAGACCTAGATCTAGTGAGTGGAGTCAGATGTGTTAGGCCCTGGCCCCTAATTAACTGAATCCTTACCACAGGAGGAGGTCCATGCATGCTCTTCCTGGAGATGAGCTTAACCGTTAAGTGAAGCCCTGGAGGGGCCAAAGTGGTACAAGGAGACTCGGGAGTGTTTGTATTTGTGATACACTTTTAAATAGACCCTAAAGGATTTGCTTAAGTGCTGAAAATTGAATAAAGAAATTAAGGAAAATTCCAGGAGTTTTCATTTCGCCATCCTGCAATGAAAAAAAAAGGAAAGATTTTGTGGGGGATGGGTGAGTAGCACAGAGCATTTATGCAATTTGCAAAAGGGAGGCTCATGGGATATGAAAAGAGCATCAAGTGCATACCTGTAGCCACTGGGTAGAACCTAAACCTCATGGTCAACCCAGGAGAGTTGTTGAAATTTGCTGGCAAATATAGCATGCTTGCCTCTGGACCTTTCAGTGCATGGAATCAGCATGGCTTCTACATTTCCTGGACATTCCCTATGATCCAAGGTTAGGGCGGAGTAACTCAGATGGCAACGTTGCATGGTTGTCAGCTGGACGCTGGAGGCCCTTGGTTTGTTGGGAATCTGCTTTCCCACTCAGTTCTTATCTCTGCTCTGGATTCTCCACATTAATGGAGCTCATTCTGTCTCCCCAGGGCTGCTATGAGCTGATCTCTGGACCAATGGACCGGCATGCCTGGGGAGTTGCCTGGTTTGGATTCGCCATCCTCTGCTGGACTGTGAGTATCCTCAGCACATTTTATTTCAGAAAGGGACAATAAGAAGAGAACTTGAGAAGGTCCCGTGCTATTTCAACCACCCTAGAAAGTCTGGGAAACCAAGTTTGCAGCTAAGATAGTCAGAAAACTTCTAGCACCAGACCAAGGACAACGGGTTCCTCTGAGCTGTGAAATGCCAACTTCCCTACTGGAGAAAGGATGCACCCAACTAAGTAAAGCCTTCACAGGTCGGGTTCACCTGGGCTTCTTAGTGAACTCCAGCTGTGCTCCACAGCTAAGTAATTCACTGCAACTAGATTTCAAGGCCTGCCCTGTCACCTCTCTAGAGGGCTCCTGAGGTGCATCCTTAGTTTGCCTACTGCCTTGGAAGCTCTCATCTCTCCCTGTTGCCTCTCTGTGAGGCACACAGGGCTAGGTCAGAGTTCTGGTTCCCAGCCCTGGCTGCACACTCAAACCTCCTAGACAAGGCAAAAGTTGTGCCTATCACTCTGTGGCCCTTCAAGTGATCCTATGGCGTCGCCTGAGCACTTGGTTTTATTTTACTTGTGTTTGTGGTTTTGTTTTGGCAACTTTCCAAGATGCTTCTACATTACTGCCACAAGCAAGAACCATGACTTCAGGGAAATAATCCTAAACTTTGATTTCAGTTACTCTTGAACACCTTGAAATATATTAAAGAATCAAAAAAAAAAAGCTATTTTTTTCCTATGTGGCCTTTCTATTGCCATCTACTTCCACTGAGCATAATGAGTAGAAAAAATTAAATAGTTATTAATTTGTTTTAAAATAAGATAATAAACCAATTATAAGTTCATATAAACAACATAATCCTGGTAGGAAAATTATATTTACAAAATAAAACAGACTCATGAAATAATATTGCTTTGCATTTTTTTTCAATCCTGTTGATGTCTGGCTTGGTAAAAAAAAAAAAAAAAAAAAAAGCTGTGTCTTCTACATGTTCTCTCCATTCGGTCTGTGCTAACATGTTGCCAGTGTTATGGGAAAGTAGATCCTTCATAATGGTGTGTAGTTAAGAACAGGAGTATTCTGACAACCTTATGTGAAGGTGAGTATTGTGACTATTCCTTTGAAACCATCCCCACTGATACAAGCTTCTTCAAGACTGGTAGCAATATGGAATCTGAAACTAGATTAATGAAGAACTTGTACTATTTGCAGAAATCTTTGGCCTATACCTAAGCCCATAACATCATGCAGTGGCTGTTTGGGGGGGAAGCTGACTCATCATATTTCGTAGCACTTGCTGGCAATCGTTGATTTCTTTATGTGACACCAAAAGATCACATTCACTAATACTGCCACACTGGAGAATAGGGTACTATCAAACCCATGACAGCATATCAATTTTCCAGAGATCTGATTTTTGCTTCAAAACCCACATTTATTATTGACAGTACATAGTAGCTAAGTATTTTCCTTGAGGTAACAGACTAATTTTGTAGATTTCAAAGAAAACATCTATCCAAATAGCCAAGCTTGAACAGTCATAACCATAGCTTCTTTTCTAGACTTTTTTTTCCCAAATAAAAATAATGTTTCCGCCAGGCAGTGGTGGCACACGCCTTTAATCCCAGCACTTGGGAGGCAGAGGCAGGTGGATTTCTGAGTTTGAGGCCAGCCTGGTCTACAAAGTGAGTTCCAGGACAGCCAGGACTACACAGAGAAACCATGTCTCAAAAAAAAAATGAAGTTTCCAGAAAGAAAAAGAAACCATTAGGTCAAGTGCATAACCAATTACAAAGTGCTTTCTTTCTGGACAATTGTATTTTAATATGTAGTGGGATTTTGTTTAATCATAGAGAACATTAAAAAGATGTGTAACCAATGGTCAAAGTACAATACAACCAGTAGCTTTTGTTGTTGCATGAAAGACAATACCAGGTAAAATTTCCTGCTTCTTCTTTTCCCACGAAGGGCATAGCAGTGCAGAACACAGTGGGCGCTAGTGTAGTTCAGTCTGCCTGTCTCCATTCTCCCTGAGACTCGACCTTTGCTGCTTTTGTGCCACCAGAGACCATGTTAAAGAAAAAAGAAAAAACCTGAAACATTCTTGACCTCATTGGCTCCTGAAGGGTGCTTGTGTACTATGCTTTGAAAAAGTGCTGACTGAGAGGATATAAATGAGGGAAGAGAGAGAAAGCTGTTCCTTCAGGAAGTGTTTTATGATCGCTCTTAGGACTTCATCTCTGTTGTGAAACCATGTCCCTGTGACATATTTGATGCTGTCAGAGGCAGAGGACCAGCTGCTCTTTGTTGCCTAGAACCTAGCATAGTGCACAGTAAAAGCTCAGTAATTTGTTGAATGAGTTCACTAGACAACAGAGAAGTTGACTATTTAAGCCGGAACTACTGGACATTCAGAGGCTTTTGAGTATCATGGAGTTGCCAACCAACACTGTATACAAGTATCGAATTCTAAATTATAGATATTGTAAATATCTCCTGAGGTTCAGCAGAGGGGGGGGGGAGATGAGAGCTAATGATATTGAGGGTCTGCTGTTGATGAGACACCATGTAAGATAGTCTTTGTATGAAACCCCTCAAGAGCAGTAGGTATATCTGCCCTACAAGGTACCATGCTTGAGAAGAACTCCTAGGCATACCAGAGGGCTTACTCTCAGACGGCTTTCCTGTAAGGCTTGATAAGGAACACTCTAAAGTCCACTGGGTCCTATGACTTTGGGTTAGCTACTTGTCTTCCCTGTACTTCCGGCTCTTCGGAGAGCTTTAAAGACAGATGTGCCTGATTCATATAATCCTTAGTGAATATTAGGCTCAATTATTTTTTTCATTATCTTACTCACAGCCCTAGATCTGAGGTAGAGAGAGAAGATATGAAGTTTATTTTATAGATACAGAGACTGGGGCTCAGGAAAGCAATATGGCGTGGTTAAGATTCCTGGAAGTAGATGGCAGACCTGAAACAGCTCAGACATTCCAACTCCATACATGAGTAGGATATCTTAGGGGTCTGTCCTGTTCTTCAGAGGCAGTCATTCAAAAAGGTGGCAAGCACTTTAGGATGCTAAGAAAGTCCCTTGGGAGGAAAGGTTTTAAGAGTAGGAGAAAAGAGGGACCCAATGCCTGGAAATCTAACTCAGTTGGTGGAGCACATGCCCAGTATGCCCAACCCCCCCCCCTTAGACCCCAGCACTAAACAAACCAAGCAGGGTTGCATATGCCTATCGCCCTATAACTTGGAAGTTGAAATCAGAAGGTCATACTTGGCTATATAGAAAGCTCAGGGTCAGCCTAGGCTCTGTGAGACCCCATCTCAAAAATAAACAAATAAATACAAATGAAGAAGATAGATCATCCAAGTACTTTCTGACTCGAAACAGAAGCACATTTGAGAGTTCTTGGCCTTGATAATGGGAGAGAAGAATTTCCCCATAGCTATTTCAGTATAAAAATGAGAAGAACACTTGAGAAGTCAGAGAGGCGAGGTGGGAAGTGGGGTGGCTCGGGGGAATGGAGAGAACAGTCTGAGTGGCAGACTGTAGAAGCGATGCTCCAGCTCAGGATGGGCAGTGTCTGGCCCTCAAGATTGTCGTCACTTAGGCTCAGGCCTGTTAACGAAATAAAAAAGGGGGAGAGGCAGAGAGCCTTAGGGGCTGCTGGGCAAGAATCTGACGTGGGCCAAGGACAAGGAAGTGGGCTTCAGGCAGGAATCTGACATTAGGCTAGAACAAAGAAGTAATTTCAGGCAGGAATCTAAATATTAGGCTAGAACAAGGAAGTAGGCTTCAGACATGAAAATGACTTTGGGCTAGGACAGGGAAGTAGGCTCAGATACTTTGGTCATCCTGATAAGCCCTTAGAAACATTGATCATGGGAGTGTTCACGGAATTGTGTTTAATGCCTTGCTTTTTCTTTGACTATTTGTGTTTACTGTCTTGCTTGTTCCTTGACTATTTGCATCTATTGTATTGCTAGATCCTCAACCTAGAACTGACCTTAATACATACATGTAATCAAAATGGTATAAAAGCAAAAAGGAGGAAGGGGGATGGGATGGGGGTCCTGGGGGGGATGGGGAAAGAGGATGACATCTGAAATGTAAATAAAGTATCCAATAAAAAAATAACACCCCCCACCAAAAAAAAAAAGATTGCCGGCTCTTAAATTACTACTAGAAATCCCATGTCACCTAAGTCTGAATGGAAGGAACATAATTGTTTCATATTAAAGTAGATGTTTTTTTTAATCTTAATTATTTGTTTTACTTTCTTTCTCATTTTAATTCTAGTTTTGGGTTCTCCTGGGTACCATGTTCTACTGGAGCAGAATTGAATATTAAGCACACAGTGTCTCCGCCATACCTCCCTCCCTGGGTGACTTTGAATTTGGTGCTGGAACCTGCTATTTCATCACATGCTCTCTGTGTGCTCCGCCATGACGCACGCTTGTCTCTCTCAAATGCCAGTTCGGGTGGAATGGACTTCCTTTAGGCTCTCAAGATGCTGCAGTTGTTAGCAGAAGATTCTGCAACATATTTATATAGTTATATTCATATCCTTGCCTAAGATTCTGCAACATATTTATGTAAGACAGAGTGTAGTATATGTGTACTCTATGTACTATGTCTAGTGTAGTACTTACATGTACATTATAAGACAGAAAATTTGGAGAGTGGAGGTGACTCTCATCCCTGTTTATGTTTAACGTGGTAGCACAGTGATATTCAAAGGAACCTGCCTCACCATTGTAAGCTCTGCATGTATTGAGTAGCAAATTCAAGAAACAGAGAGCCTGGCTCTCTATTTTCTTTAACCTTGCAGGACTTTTGTTTGTCACCTTGTAGGCTGGAGGAGGGAAGGTGCACAGTGAAAAAGAAGGAAACTGTGGAGCTGTGCCTTTTGCCTCTGGTTCTGCTGACATCTGTCTGCACCAATAGTGATCCTGACACCTTTGGATGCTTTTATTCTCCAGGACAACCCTTGATTTTCATTTAACAAAGTGCTCAGACTTCCTCTCACACCCTGTGGAGTGACGTGCAGTTAGCAACCCCACTCTCTGTTCATTGAGAATATGTAAACTTTGGGGGCATCGACTGTGCCCATTTTACACCAGCTCAGTCTTTGCACTCAAAGGTTTCAACCTGAAACACTTCTCAAACTGCGGGATCCAAGCCAGCTGTTCGAACAGGTGATTTATGGGGACTTTTGTTTGCTATCAAAATAGTTTGCTCACATTAACGATCCCAAAGAAAGTCCTGACAAGTCACCATTTGTTTGCTTATCCATAAATAAAGAAGCCCATAAAACACGCTCCCTCTCTTTGATTTCAACAGGTCCTGCATAAGTCGAATGGGGTTTCCAATAGAAGAGACCCAATTGCAGGGGTTAAAATGGCGAAAGTGGGAGATACACACCAGTGGGTTCCTGATGGATGGTGGACTTCCCACATGGACAGGGAATGGGTACAATTCGGTTTCCTTTTGCTTTTCCTTCCTGCATTAACCTCTGAAGCTATTACTTTTCTGTACTTGGAGGCAATATACCTGATGCCAATAGCCATCATGTTCCTTATGCAGAAAACACATCCATCTCTTAGAAACAGTCAACCCATCTCTGCTCTACTTAAGAGCCACCCAAAAATGCAGCAATCTGAGAAACTTTACTTTTCTCAGCAACTACCACTGAACCGGCTAAATCTAGGGCAAGTTTTATTTACTGCAACATGGAAATAGCAGCCTGCCTCTGGTCAGCCTTGTCCTTTCCCAGACTAACCCGAACCCTAGGTCCTGGCAGCCTGGTTACATGTAGCACTGCAAAGCCCACTGCTCAAATTGTCCACCCTGGAACCAGAATAAAGCGGGATCTGCTTCTGTTTGAACAGCAGAGCAGATACTCTCCAGCTACTCCTACGTAGAATCCAAACTTGAAAAACTAACATCCTCCATCTAACTCCACCCCTACCTGTCTGATCGACAAGCAGTCCTGGAGGTGATGGGAATTAGAAACCAATTACTAACATGGCCTCTTGCTAGAGAGTAAAGGATTGCTCTACATCCCAGTCTCCTTCTTCTGGTTTCTTTCCTGCTTCACCTCACTCAGCTTCTTATCATGTCCTATGAGACAGCCTAGGGAACAGGAGCCACAACTAGTTAAGCAGCTAAGTCTGGTTTCAGGTATATATATCTGAAGACTCAAGTGGTCCTATTCAACAAGGTCTTTGAGTTGGCAGCATGGAAGATGCTCTCACACAGCTCTCTCCAGCCTACAATCCCCATGTCTGGCACAATCCCTCTCCCTCTCCCT